CTGGCCTGGCTCTGTTGGGGTCCTCAGACCTTCCTGGGGCTCCTGGAGGGACAAGCTCTCATGCCCTGACTGGAGCAGTTTAGGGAGTGGAAACCTGTGGCTCTCTTCACTCATCTGCTTTCTTGTGCTTCCTCCCCTGGAAGCTTCGACGCGGGTTTGGGGAGATGCACTTTGGGTTGGGTCAGGGGGTCAGGAGGGGGGGAGGCTTTGCCCTGGCAGAGCAAGATGCACTGTGCAGTGGGTGTTTTCTTTCCCAGTTCTGGTGGTCTCCTGGTGTTTGCCTTGAGCTGACAGGAAAAGGCACATTTTCTGGTTATGAACCTGCCCTCTGAGACCACTGAGAAACAACTGCAGAATTTCAGTGCTCCATTAAAATCAGCCTTCTAAAGAATTTGTAGCTGTATCTGTAGTCACTGAACAATGTTCAGACAAGAAATCACCAACAGGAAAGATGAGTGTTTAGTCCAGAGTGAAGCTGGAGCAACCCTTGGAAGCTGGAGGGGTTTTGGGGGGTAGCAGCTATGTGGTGGGTCTCTGGGCTGGTCCCAGCACGGTGAGAAGCCTCCGTGGTCTTCTCTGCCTCACTTATGACTTCTCTGCTCTCTCTCTCCCCCTCAGGAACGGGGTGAACGTTGAAGGAGCCACGCACAAGCAAGTGGTGGACCTGATCCGTGCTGGGGAGAAGGAGCTGATCCTGACGGTGCTGTCGGTGCCTCCCCACGAGGCTGATAACCTGGACCCCAGCGACGACTCCTTGGGGCAGTCCTTCTATGACTACACGGAGAAACAGGCCGTGCCCATCTCCATCCCCACCTACAAGCACGTGGAGCAGAACAGCGAGAAGTTTGTGGTTAGTGTCAGCCTGGGGGGGGGGCTCTGGGTGTCTCTGGACATCTGCACCCCGAGCTGATGTGCTCTGTTTGCCTGCAGGATGGAGGCACTTTGGTGTAGGATCGCCTGGGTTTGGTGCTGCTTTGTTTAAGATTGCCCATCTTTGGCTTGGTGATTCTTTTGCAGCTATTTCCTATGGGCCAAGAAGCTTTTTCATTAACGTGTCTTAAATCACTTGATCTCTTGTGAAGATGGAGCAGGAAGCTGTTGTTTTGTTCCTGTTTGTATCTCCTGTTTCACACCAAGTGCTCAGGACATCTGCGATGGAGGGAGAAACAAAGGGAACAGATGTCCTGAGGCACAGCTTCCCATCTCCACCAGTCTCCTCCCTTTAGGGAATATCAGGGGAAATAGCTGTAAAAAGTCTTTTTTTCCTCTGTGTTCCCTGCCTCTTCTGCTGCATTTTCTGGGGAGCCTGGCAGTCATTTTCTGGGTAAGGGATCTGTCCTCCCAGTGCTGTGCATCCTCTGAGCACTAACGTTGATTCTGGCTCATCTAGGATGGCTGGTAGGGAGATGTTTGGAGAGGGATCCAAAATGGCTTGATCAAAGACACTCATCTGCAGAACTGTTTCTTCCTGCAGCATTTGGGGAGTTTTTAATCCACTTGATCAGCCTGAGCTTGCTCAGCTCCTATGCTTCTTTGCCTGGCTGTAGAGAGTGCACACATCATAGAATTGTGGAGTTGTTCTGGGTGGGAGAGACCTTCCAGCTCCTGGAGCCCACCCCTGCCCCCAGCACTGCCAGGTCCCCACTGCCCCGTGTCCCTCACCCCACATCTCCACGGCTTTGGTCTCCCCCCA